TTTTTTCTTTGCAATCTTGTTAAAAACTTATCTATGTTGTCAATCTTTTTAAAAATCAGCTTTGTTTCAATGATTGTCTAGTTTCCTTTCTTATTATTTTGTTTATAATCATTTCCTCTCTGTCTCTGTCTTTCTGTCTCTCCTCTCTCTCTCTCTCTCTCTCTCTCTCTCTCTCTCTCTCTCTCTCTCTCTCGGTTTATTTTCTAGGTTCTGGAAATGGATTCTTAGGTGATAGATATGAAAAACGTTTTCTTTTCTGGTGTGTGCATTTGTTGCTATAAATTTCCCTCTCAGTACTGCTTACCAGTTATCCACAAATTTTGATAGATCCTATTTTAATTTTACCACATTAAATAATTTTTATTTCCCTTGACAATTCCTTTTTAATTCATAGATTATTTTTAAAGGGATACTGTTTTGTTTTCAAGTTATCCTTCTGCTTTTAATTTCCAGGTTCATTCCATTGTGATTGAAAATCACTCATAAATCTGTTGAGGTTTATTTATCTTATCCCAGGATATGGTCAATCTGGGCATATATCCTGTGAGTACTTGAAAGTAATGGGTATTTTGATAGTACACTTTCAATAAATGTCAATAAGATAGTAATTGACGATGCTGTTGACATCTTATCTAGCCTTGGTGATTTTTTTCATGTTATTTTATCAGTTCTCAGAGGTGGATTTGGAAGTTCCAACCATAATTGTATGTTTGACTATTTCTCTATTCCATTCTGTTTTTATTTCACATGCTTAAATTTTTGTTGTTTAGTGTGTTACACATTTAGGACTGCCCTGCCATCTTGGTCGATTAACCCTCTTAGCATATTCAGTGCCCCTTGTTGTCTGTGGTACTATTTGTTCTAAAGCGTACTTCATCTGGTATTGACATAGCTATTTCTGCTTTCTTTTCAGAGATATTTGCTTGATTTACCTTTATCTTTTTTTAACCTTCAACCTGCCTATATAATTATATTTGAAGTTAATTTCTTGTAGACAGCATATAGTTGGCCTTGCTTTTTAATCTAATGTGTCAATCTTTATCTTCTAATAATTTTAAATTAATTAATCCTGTCAGGGATTTAGCTCAGTGGTTCCAGTGCCTGCCTTCCAAACACAAGGTCCCGAGTTTGATCCCCAGTACCAAAAAATATATATTAATTAATTAATCCTATAGCTATGAAACTATCTTCACATGAAAGTTTCTTAAAGTGATGCAGTCTTATTCTATAAAACCTCCCTTCTGTCACATTTTGACTGTATTTTAAGTATTTTAAATTATATTAAGTGCTTCCTTTATTGATTTCCTTACATTTATCCATAAACTGGCCATCAAATTTTAATATTAAGTAGAATTATAAAAATTCAAAAGAAAAAAGAATACAACAATTAATACAATTACAACAAGTGCGAAAATGGATATAATTCATATACATAGGAAAAAGTATTAAATTTAATTTCCAGAGAATTAGACACTTTTCCAAAACCTACCACTTCAGCAAGTCATCTACATTTTCTCAGCCTCATTGCTTGAAAAACTCACAGTAAGCTCTATTTAGTAATGCATTCCAAATAGAATGGGTGACATTTTGGTGACAAGAAGGAGAGGAAAGGAGATTAAGTGAAAAGGCGGATTGTGATGTACTAAGTCCCTATGAGGAATGTGATCACCATATACTATAAACACAGTGTAGGAAGGGGAGGGAGAGAAGAAGATTTAGAAACAGAATTGAGAAATGTCCAACTCCCCATGATGAATGTAATCATAATGTACTACAAACATGCTTCAATAAAAATAAAAAATAGATTGTCAAATTGTAATTTTGCTATCTGTTTTTATACATAAAAACACTGAAAGTCTTTGATATCAGGACTACATTTGTTCTGCTACAGAATAGCTAAGAAGTTGCACTAAAGATCACTTATCCTGTAAATATTGAAATATTTATGACACGATCCTTTATAATGAAAGATTCTTGACCCTAGTCTTAAAAGAATGACACTTCACAGGTTGTTGATATATCTAGGTTTCTATTCATTCTCTAATTTAAAAATGCTTACAGAGAAGTCATTCAGATACATATTCAAATAGGACATGTGCCATTTACTGAATATGTGATGTTATGAATAATTCTAAACATTTGACCCTTTAACTGTAAATCTTTCATGATTATGAAGGGAATTTAATGGTCTGATTCACATAAAGCATTTAGTACAGTGCTAGTGACTCAGTTATTGTTAGCTTTCCTTTCAGTGCCTGGATACGCTACTAATGATCTCAGACTTTTCCATCAAAAATATAGCAAAAATTTACTATGCAAAATCAAGCTGAGAAAGTAAAGAACATAATGATTCCTGCTACAGGACTGTGGAAACTTCATATATATAATAATTATTGAACATCTATATGGTGACATTATGCTACATTGGGGAAATAGTTCACAATTGACTTTCATTAAGCTTGTAGTCCTATTCACAGATACCAGTGAATAAAGAGTGGATCAGTTAAGAGTTAAGTGTTCCACTGAGACAAATACAGCTGAGAGGTGAAGGAGATGAAAAAATGGTCATAGTATTTCATACAATGGAGATGTATAGTGACCTAAACAAGAATTGTTTCAGGCAATTGGGAAGAATAAAATAATAGGTAAATAATAGATGATAACTGCTATGAACAATGATTTAAAGAAGTGTCCCTCAAAAGAGAAGTGGGGAAATAGGATGAAATGAAGAAAAACCACTTAAATACTATTTTTACATGGAAACATTTTTTGTTAAGTGCAAGGGTTTTGCAAAGTGGAAGTTTATTGATATAGAATGCAAGAACATCTTATTTTTACTTTGAAGTAGTATCAGTTAAGTATGGCTTTCCATGTACACAACAAAAATCAAAACTATAATTCTCCTGTTGAAAAGAATAAAAACATTTGAAAAGTGCATTTGTCTTGTGAAAAATCTATCTGGTCCTATTAATCTGATTACAGTGTTGCATCCAGACAATGGAATGGTATTAGGTACTAAAAAGAAATGAACTATTGAACCATGGAGGAAATTTAGAGAGATGTTGCTAAGTGAAAGACCAGATCTCAGATTGGGTAATTTGAAAAGGTAGTTTATCATATGCATTCTGAAATAACCATGTCTATGGATACAGTAAAAATATCAGTGGTTGCCAGGGGTTGGGGAAAGGAAGAAATGAGTAGACTAGAGCACAGAGAATTGTTAGGGCAGTAAAATTATATTGTATGAACTAAAATAATGGCTACATTTGTCAAAACCCAGGAATGTAAAACATCAAGAGTGAGCTGTACAGGTTTATGTATTATAACGAAATGCACCACTCTGTTGGGGATTTTAGAAGGGAGAGAAGCTTTGTGTGTGTAAAACAAAAGATACACAAAAATGGAAAAATAGGAACAAAATCTTTGTAAATAGAGAGGAATGGAGGGGTTGAAGGGAGGCCTTGGCAAGGGTGAAAAATAAGAACCAAGAGAGACTATGTAAAGGTGCAAATTTCCAATGATGAATGTCATTATATTGTATACCTAAAATGTACCAATGATTAGAATGAATAATCGATAATTCAAAATAGGAAGAAAAGGTCCAAAGGGGTAAGGGTAGTGGGAGGGGCAGGGGAAAGGAAAGAAGGGAAAGGAAAAATGCTGAGAAATGGAAAAAATGGAAATAAAGTCTTTGTAAATAGGGAAGGGTGGAGGGGGTGAAGGGAGGGCTAGGAATGGGGAAAAAATAAGAACCAAGATGCATTATATAAAGGTACAATTCCCAATGAGAAATGTAATTGTGTTGTATACCTACAATGTACCAATAAAAGAATTTAATAAAGTGCAAAAAAAAAAAGATACATGGAAAATCTTTGGGCCTTCTGCACAATTTTTCTGTGCATCTAAAACTACTCTAAAAACAAAATCTAGTTTCAGAAAGACAACATAAGCCAAGATGACCTCTTTTTAGTCTGAGGCAATTAACCCTTAAAAAATTAAGTTCCACTGCATGAGGTAAGTGTGATGGAGTATCTCATGGCTTTCAGTCATTCCCTCAAATAGGCCCCAAATTGTGCCACTTTTTCTTCAACCAAATGGCTCGCTAAGGCCAGGTGGAAATTATTTTTACTTGACTGTATTACTGGATTATGACTTGAAGCCCAGGGTTCCATGAGTTATCATGGACAGGATTAGTCTGCCGGGCCGAGTGATTCACATGAAACAGTCATTGCAGCCACCTCTCCCTCCTGCCAAGTGTTTTGCCAAAACTAATAACAAATCAGAAAGCTTTTGCTACTCTCCTGGTGATATACTAAGGAACCTCAGTATCAATCACTGCAGTTACTGAAGGACTACCATCTAAGACAGAGTTAGTAATAGCAACATAACTTTAGCAATTCACTTGTGCCAATGAGACAAGTAATTAACCTTATTACATAATTTTCTAGCAGTAGCGTGAGGCTTAATTAATATTTTTCTTCTGCAGATCAAGATAATGAAATTCATAAAAGTTATTACATTTTGTCCAGGTCACACTCGCTGATACTTATGATTTCAAATTTCAAAATTGAGCTTGATACAGAGAGGAACTCGGTGTCACTCTGTGGTGCTCCTGCCATGTTACATTCAGCCTGATTCTGTGTGATTCTGAGGGTTTTGCATGTTTCTTATCATTAAGCAGCATGACTATGGTGAGTATTTTGTGCTCTCCTAAGGAGCTACAGTCACAGGAAACCAAGAAACACCTAAAATAATTTCAGATACATTATCATCAGAGAGACCTGATAGTGTAGGAGCTTGGAGTAGACTCTGGTCCAGAAAAATAACTCTGGAGGAACTGAAACCATCTGAAGAGTTTCTAAATTAGATAATCGTATTGTGCACATATTGATTTCCCAGATTTTCATCATTATACAGTGACTGTTTAGGAGATGTCCTTGTTTTTAGAAAACACACTCTGAAGTGTTCCAAGGTAAAGGGAAATCAGGTCTTTGACTTACACATTTTCAGGAAAGAAACATGTTATGTAAACACACAGAGTGGCCTTGTATCTCTCTCCTGTGTATTTGAAGAATCCTGAAACAGAGTAGTAGCAAATTAGCCTCCAAGTTACAATCTTTAATTTTAAAAACAGAGAACTCATCCAAAACACAAGGGAAAAGATTCACTTTGTTAATTTTGTTTAATACTTATTCAGTGCCTTCTCAATATTATATTAGAAGACTAAAAAGACTCAGAGACCCTAAAATTCAGAACTTTTCCCCTTTAAGAATATATGAATATATTCACACAATATATTTCTAATTTGAACATTTTAATTCTTAACACTTTACTAACTAAAGCTTATAGCGTTGTTTGTCATGAGGGCTAATTATTTAACATATAGATACCTCCTCCATATTTAAGCCAGGACCATATTTTGTGTTCACTGCCATATCCTCAATACATAACTTAGAAGCCAAAATATATGGGAATTTGACATAAATGTCAGGAATAAATGGATAGATGTCATCTTGTCTGGCATCAAAACTGACATGAGTTTTAACATTTCTGATCATGGAAAGCCAACTTGCTTGCTTTCATTGCATTCCAATGCCTGACAGCACTTGTTTCTGGCCTTTTGAAGTCATTCTTTGATAAAAGATGTGGGGACATGCATTTCCCAGTATGACTTCATAGGACAGGCTTACTTAGGCTGAAACAGCTTTCCCAAAGAGCACCCGTCCTCTGACACTTGGCTTCGCAGCTGCCCAGTACCACTCACAATCTGCCTTTAACTCATCATCTGAGATCATACTACATTCATTTTGAACCTGGATGGGCAGCCTCCATACCATGTGTGAAGATTGCCTCTATTATCTTTACAGGATGGAATAGAAAGTAACTCTATTTTAAAATATTTACGCTGTTTTTGAAATCCCTTTGCTCAACTAAGCAATCATAGTTGGACTATGGTTTCATCAACCACCAGTCATCAGGAGGCTGTGAGGTTGAGCCTGGGTAGCTTGCAAAATGACCCATGAAGGAATCAGTACAGCAGGTCTAGTTTTCCTATCTTGATACTGTAAGTAATGCTTGCCATCAGCTGGCATTTCAGACTGTGTTATATGACTCCCTTGGTGCGGGAAGGAGGCTTGGAAGCAACAGTGTAGAACCTGTTAGTCATGTGTTTCTATGGTTATTTATAAATATTATGACCAACCTTAGTCAATATATGATGATTATAAATTATCTTTTAATTGCCAGGAGCTATTTCTTTCAGAGGTCTTTTAGAATGACTTTTAAATTCAGTTGACTCTAATGTAATTTATCAGACACAAAATATTAATGGGACTAAGATTTTAGCAATTAGGTTCTGAGTCAGACACAGGTTGCTGTGAAGACTGAGAAAAGGATGAATAAGAGCAAAACATGAAGCTTTTTGACTGTATATTAGAGGAAGTACTTAACATAAAATCATAGGAACAATAACTTTCATGCAATAATTATCTACATCTTGTGGGTCCAGGGAAAATCCTTTACACACACCACTTTTCTAAGTCTGATATTATGTAAGATAGAATTAGGAAATTCCTCACATACTCACAGACTGCATCATTTGTAAATATTCACAACACAGGCTCAGGAAAGGGTTACATCTGATAAAAAGCAAACTTTAAATGGGAAGGGAATTTGATAATGTGTGCTGAGAAAATCAGTTGATGCTTTATGTAGAATCTGCAAAGTCCATTTCAGGCTGTTTACCAGGATCTCATTAGTTCAAGACTCTCAGAACACACACTGGAGATTTAAAGATACCAACTGAACAGCTAAGTAGTCATGCACCACATCACAATGCTTCAGTCAACAAATGTATTGCACGTATCGCCAAGTGACCTCATAGCCATCTATGATGTTTCCACAATGATGAAATTGCCTTGCACTCCTGTCCCAAGAATGGATCTGCCTTCTTGGTGCACATCTTTAAGTGACACATGACTCTATTATAGTAAAATCCATAGGAGCAAGGCTTTTTGCATCATATATACATGTACATTCCACTGATACCTTACAGACAGAGCTCTAATAATAGACAAATGTGTTTTTTTCTCAAGTAAACTCTCTAAAGGTTTAGAGCTAATATATCCAACTGAGAATGATCTTCAAGTAACTACTTCTAAAGACATTATTCTACATATTATGATCTTGTCACAGTCAAAAATGTTTGGATTGCCTATCAGTTGAGGTTCATGCCCACACACATCTATTCATACATTCAACAAAGACTTACCAAAAATTTATTATGAGCCAGGCATATCGTAGAAAGTACATTTCCCACAAAGAATGCAAAGTCTCTGTCTGCTGAGACCACATACTCAAGTGGAGCAAGCTGGGAAGAATTATAAGAATCTATAATAACTGCTAAATGAAAAATAACAGGGTATTATCACACAGAATAAGAGTAAGGTGCTATTGCTAATAGGAATGTTACAGAAAAGTCTTTCTGATGAAGTAGTATGTATGCTTAGAACTGGCAAAAGAAGCAAAATACAATGAGATCAGATCAATAGAAAAACATATCTCAGGTGGAAGGAAGAGTAGAAAAAGGCCTTGTGGCCTAAGTGAGTGAATTTGGGGACTTAAAAATTTAGACCTTCTGGGAATTACAAAACAGAATGGGAATTGGAAATCAGGAGGAGAATAAACAAGGCTATGCAAGCATTTGTGGGTCACGGATAAGAGCACAGTTTTTATTCTATGTGTTAGTGAGATTTCGGTTACTATAGCAAGCACCTAAGATAAACAACTTAGAAAAGATTTATTCTGGCTTACACTTTGGAAGGTTCCAGTTCATAGCAAATTGGTCCTTTATTTTTGCACTTTTGATGAGACAGCACATTCTAGTAGCGAGCACGTGGTGAGACAAGCCGCTCAACTCATGACAGCTGAGACACAAAGTAGAGGAAAGGGTTCTAATACCCCCTCAAAGACACAGCCCAGTAACATGAATACCTCTTCTATCCTCTTCCACTACTTTCCAGCAGTTCCATGAGCTGGAGACCAAGTCTTTAAAACATGAGCCTTTGGGGGATATTTATCGAAGCCATAGTATTCCTAGAACAATGGATTTAAGCAAAGTGACTGATTTTCAGTTTTTCAAAGCTCCCTCTGGTTATGATGCAGAAAAGGGGCAAGACTGGAAATGATGAAACCAATCTGGAGGCTCTTGCAGAAGTCTGGGCACAACATGATGTTGGTATAGATAGAGTAGGAGTTCTCAAGATAGAGAAAAACAGAAGGGTATGAGGCATGTTTTGGAGAGAGAGTTGACAGGAGTTGCTGATGAATTGGATGTGGAAGATGATGGAAAAGGAGAAATGGAGAATGACTCTCAGGCATCTGGCTTTAGAAACTGGGTTGATGGTAGTAATGTTTACAGAGATGGAAAAGCCTGAGGAGAGCCAGGCTATGAAGGAAACTAAAGACTAGATTGGGCCATATTCAGCTTGAAATGACTATGAGACTTCCACGTAGAAATTCTAAATAAATGATTAAATGTTTGGGTTGCAGATTTATAGAAAACATGAGGCCTGAAATAGGAAATTGAACACTCTAAGCTTGTAAATGAGTTTAAGATCTCAGAGACGATGTACATACATCTTTCTGAAACTATTTCTACACACAAAGCTTTCAATTTACCTTCAGATTCTAAGAATCTCTTAATCTCTCTCAACTCTGGTTTCTCCCACTCATCTCAACTGCTGTGTTTCTCTCTTCTACAGAGCTATGTTTTATGAAAATTTCCACTCATCTCTGCAAACTGACCAGAAAGCAACCACGCAAGCTCTTCTTGTTTTAGGTGTTTTAGCTACAGTGGAAAATCCCCACTGCAAACAATACTAAAAACCACTAAGGGTGATTTTCAGTAAAAACTGAGAAATTTTCCTCTTACAGTAAAAGGAGCTATCCTTGGGATTCTTTGTTCCTGATTTGTTCTCTGGTGCTTAAAGGGAAGGTTTTTATTTATTCTCCATCTATAATAGACATTTACTCATGAAATTCATATTGACTCAGAATCTGATAAATTGAGATCTGGAGAAATCCTTAAAGACTCATTCAACCTGTTTATGTTCCATGTCAGAAAACAAAAATTTAAAAGTAATCTACATTATTTTCTCCAACATTTTTCTTCATAATTATTTAATCCATACATGCTAAGCTGAGAAAAATGTGAAACTGAGAAAAACAATACTTTTAATACCACAAATCTTTGATAATTATGACTGAGTTTTGATGTATTTTTATAGAACTTTTTCTATTTATACAGGGATGTGTGTACTTTTGTGTATGCATCTATGTAGAACCTGTTTACAAACATTTATGTATAAGTTTCTGTGAGCATCTATACATTCTTTACATCTATTCACACAGAAACACAGTACATTCTCAGTTGTTGAGTTGACTGTTCTTTCCTCTACCTTAGATTACATGAACATAGCTACTGTTTTAACCTTGTAAGTTCCTGAACAATTAGAGTCTATGCATTCATTTCTTCCTAAGAAAAGTTCAAGAAATGCTAAAGGTATTTGGCCAAGAATTCTTCACTGAGCCAGTACATCAGTTCCCTAGATAATGTGAGAGTTAATGACTCCTAGCTTCCCTCTTCTCTAGAGTATCCTTGGAATACACTCATAGGTGTGCGCATGCACACTACACAGAGACACATTATGCATGGGAAGCTGCACAGGTATTTGACCTATCTGCCTCAAAGTGGAACTAACTCTGTGATACAATATAGGATCCAGCACCCCCCATAGATAGGATTGGGCTGAAAATTATGTTTAGCCAGGTAACACATTTGCTTAGCTTTTCCTCTGCTCCATCATGCTTCCTTCACTTACTTTCTGCTAAAAGTTATTCCCCAATAAGTTATTTCCAAAACTATTTCAATCCCAGCATTGTTTTTAAGGAAACTAATTGAGCCAATGTTTTTCTATTTTGATGACAATGGAGAAAAACACATTGCAATTTCAGAAAAATTGCCTGTTAGAAATTTTCAGATTATACTTTTGTTGCATATAAAGATCAAAAGAAAATGTAAAGGTTACACATTTCATATTATCCTAAAATTAGAAGTAACTGGTCTGCCAGCTTTATTTAAATCTGTGCACAAGACATATTTTGACAAAAAGAGAACTACTCACTACAAATTCAGTTCAATGAAAGCAGCATAAATGAATGTATGAGAGATAGACAGATAAGGCAGAGAATTTACCTTCCAGAAATTTACATGCTGACAAAGATGACAGAAAATATGAGTAATAAAAATCAGAGACTATGAAGTTCAGAATAGGTACAGTTCTGTTCACCCCAAAGCCTTTAATTTGGTGAATATCTTTCTTGAAACTCAGATCAAAAGATTCTGCTAGATTGAAGTTTTGGTTCAGTGTGGTGCTAGGATACTGTTTTTGTTTTGTTTTGTTTTTTCTGGGGGTTTTTGGTTGTTGTTTTTTTTTTTTTTTTGGTACCAGGGATCGAACTCAGGACCTTGCACTTGCAAAGCAGGCGGTGGCACCACTGAGCTAAATCCCCGGCCCTGATTTACCACTTTTAACTTGACTCATAATGTTCTTTATTTTTCTGGTTTGTATTATGTTCATGATACTCTTGCCACCAGTACATTTATTTCTCTATTTTCCATTATTGTAGTAGAAAATAATGGTAAATAACAATAAAATGTTCAACAAGTGCAAGAAAACCAAATGTTCTTTATATACAAGTGCAACTATTTACTGGATACGTGTGGTTTAAAGGATGACTTAATAAAATGTTCAAATAATTACATAAAATAACTTTAAAGAAAGAAGATGCAAAGGGAAGAATGAATTGTAATTAGAGGATAAAAATTAGACAGCAAATTGAACTTCTGACTTCCATGATGATGCATCTGTTAAGTTGGTTACATAAGAAAATTCCAAGAATTCTAAAATAAAAAACATTCATTACTATTCTCAAGGTGTTCCAGGACAGCTGTCACTCATGGTCCTGGGTCATTCACACCCCTGTTACAGGTTAGGAACGTCCTTCTGATTCAGGCTGGACTCTCTGCCTTGGCTTTTGCAGGTCACCTTGGATGGTATCACAGTTATGCTTCATTGTGTCAATTTTCTTGGCTTCAGAGATCTCTAGGGGATTAGAAAAGTGATTTCTAAGTGTGTCTGGGTGGGTCATGGAGGTGCAACCTTGGGTCCTGTATCTGACCCCTCACCCTTTCCTCATTAGTGCTGTCCCCCTGTTCTGCTCCCTTCCCCCCAAGAATGAACTAGTTTTGCTCCCCCATGCACTTCCACCACGATATTCCTGCCTTGGAGCCAGCCAAACATGAACTAAATTCCCTGAAACAGAGGCCCAATCAAACCTCTCCTCCTTCAAGTGTGGATGCTGGGTATTGTGTCTCAGCCACAGGACAGTTGACTAATACAGATAGTACTACTGGAGTTCTTTCCACCAGGTATCTGATTTCTAGCAGCCTGTTCTAGGCTTGTTCACTGGACAATAAACAGGTTTCTGGAGGGAGAAGGGAAAGGAGGAGAAAGGATGGAGAGAAAAAGAAAAGATTTACTATATATATGCAATAACTTCTTATGATAAATGTAATCCCTATGTACTGCAAACATGTACTAATAAAAAAGAAAAAGAAAAAAGGAAAAATATCAGAATAACCCAAGATCTATGGAGCTCCAGGGTGGCATTGATTGATTCTCTCCATTCTATTGGCCAAGATACAATCACACAGCCAGGAAAGTAAGGAAATAGATCCATCTCTTGAAGAGAAATTCTACCATGTGCCATTGCAAAGGATATGAGAATAGAGAGGAGTAAAAAATGGGACCAATTTTACATTCACAAATAGTAACCTAACACAAATTGGAAAGATTTCAATTAATTAACAAACAGAAGGAAATAGAAGGTAAAGCATTTAATTCCATGCTTCTAGAGGAAAAAAATATGGATTTAAAACTTTGTGAGTTTGTAGGTGTTGACTTTGGGAAAGTTAACTGTTTCTATGCCTCAGTTTTTTAATCAATAAAATATATGGGAGAACAGCACCCACTTGGTGACATTGTTGAGAGAATTCTATTATGTAATCTATGTAAGGCCTTTACCAAAATGCATTGCACTTTATAGGTTCCCAGTAAGTGTTGGCTCTGTTATTCTTACAAATAGCACTAGAGAGGGGGTGTTTCAGGAGGTGAGGAGGATGCACTCACAAAGCAGAAGTCCAAGCCAGCTGAATTTAGGACTCTCACAATCTTGTGCTTGAACCACCAGTGGATAGCCATAAGGATTAGTGTCTGCATCACCAAAAACCCTTAAGATCAGGTATGACCACAGACCTAACTACATCCAGACTCCCACTTAGATAGTGATAGGTAGTAGAATGCGCCTGCCTGCAGGGAATGAGAAATCCAACATGGTTTCTATTCTCACTCTTAAGCCTTTAAAATAATAAAACAATTTATTTTTCTCCTAACAATTCCCTTCTTTCTCCAAATAACTGAACACCTATACATCCTTGGTTGTTGACAGTTTGCATTCTAGAAATGCTAGGTATTGATGGAGAGATCTGAGAGAGTTTATTGACGTGAAGAAGAAAGTACATTAGCCTCTGAGTTAGCCTCTGAGTAAAAATCAGGGGATTTTGGACCTCTGGCTAAACTACTTTCCTGATACTAATACAATTTTTGCTTAACAAAAAAATACAAGGATATTCAAGACCTCCAAGTAAAGTTCAAAATAGATACACACCAGTGAGAGAAAGTGAAGAAACCTGAAACTGTCTTATAAACCAGAAGAGACAAAGGTGAAAGGATTGCAAGCGCAAGGACCGGAGTTTGATCCCCAGTACCAAACAAAAACAAACAAAAACAAAAAAACAAAGGTGAAAGGACCTGAATGGGCATGATTGTATGTATGGTAAGCAAACTTTTCCTCATCTCTTCTGGGGCACAACAGTGTAAACAGGCTTAGCCTCAGATTTCAGAGGGTAGATATACAGAAGAATTACTTAATGAGGCGAGTTGTTTGACACTAAATAAATGGCTAAGTTTCTAAAATATTCTCCCAGGAGCTCTCAGGACAGGGATGGTTCTCAACTATTTGGGGTTGAGATATGGCCCCCTCTCTGCAGTGGAAAACTCAGATCCACTCACTGATGTGGGTTCTGCCAGGTCTCTGACTCAGTAAAACAAAAATTGGTCCATGGATATTGGAAAAACGCAATGATGTCTCCTGGATAGCTACCTCCTAGAAATCCATTTGGGGCCAAGATTGTGACAAGTGCCTAGCATTGTCCAAACGGAACACAAGCTCATGGTTACTGATTTTTTTCCAGTGCTACGTGTGAACACTAGACATGATGACAATTCATCTGGTAGAAATTTTCAAAGTATGATGTGTGATACATCAATACTCCTTGCAAATACATCACTATTTAAACACTTAGCTATGTAAAAGCTCAGGATATGAGTTTCTAATTCCTTTCTTTTAATTACTTGAAGGAATATACACATACATGTTTATACACAATATTACCATCAAAAGTATTTTGGCATCCACGAATCCATGCAATACTTCAACTGACTATAACTGATATCTCAGCATACCTTCAGCCCATCTGCTATTATTAGTATAATACAGAACTCTCCATATTTTTATCCTTTTTTATTTTATAGCTGTACTGTCCAGTGTTCTCTAGAGGATCAGAACCAGTAGAATATATGAAATGATAAAAGAAGATTTATTATATTAGCTTATAGCATCATAGCCTAGATAGTCCCACAGAGGCCTTTTACATTCTGGAGAGCTGGAGGATTCAGTAAGTAGCTGATAAGTCCAAGAATCTGGAAGTCTCAGAATAAGAGGAACTAGTCTGGACTGGAACTTCATGGGAGAGTTGTTAGGTCTACAAACTGAAGAGCTAAAGTCGAAAGTCCACGAGTGATAGCAACAATAAAAAATGTACATGCTTAAGCAGAAAGGACCTTACAACTGTTGGCTTTTCAAAGTTTCGTACTGTACTAGACTGGCATATGTAGGTAAAGAGAACCAATAGGATCA